AAACTACACATATCTTGGTGTGTTCCTGATAGTGAATGATTCCAAAAAATGTCTTAAGCATTGCATAACTTTTAGAAACAGAGAATCTGCAGCCAGTGAGCAGTTGTTAAAATTTTGATCCTATTCCTTCCAGTTGTAAGAATATAAGCACGTTGCAAATTATTTAGCCTCTGCTCTGGTTGCCTTAGTTCCTTCATTTAAAAAATTTTTTTAATTGACAAATAATAATTGTACATATTCGTGGAGTACATAGTGATGTTTCAATACATACAATGTATGGTGATCAGATCAGGGTAATTAGCATATCCTACCTCAAACATATATCATTTCTTTGTGTTGGAAACATTCAATATCCTCCTTCTAGCTATTTGAAACTATTAATATATAATATATTATATTATCATTAACTATATTTATCCTACAATGGTATAGAACACTAGAACTTACTCCTCCTATTACCTAGCCATAATTTTGTATCTTTTAATTAACAAATCTTTCCCTCTTCCTCCTTTCTTCCTGTCCTTCCCAGCCTCTAGGATCCTCTGTTCTTTTTAATTCTTCCTCATGTTTTAAATGGGGGTGACCACAATATCTGTTACATCAGCTTGCTATAAGGATTAAATGGTTTTATAGCTCTTAAAATAGTGCTTGAAAAAGAGTAGATACTCTGTGTTACTATTATGATTAATCTCTCCCACAAAATATAATGTTTGGCAAATCACTTTGTAAATTTTTATTTTTTGAATTAAAATAATTTGTATAACAAATTGGTCTACTGCTGAGCACATCTGTAAAGTGAGACCTGAATATTCATTTGATAATTGAAGCTGATGCTCACCATAGAGATTTGTAAAATATTTGTGTGCTTACTTACAGTAGGACTGCTTCCTTTGGGGAATTAATCTTCTAAATACCTTGCCTGATTAGTATACATGGAAATTGGCTTACATGGAAGACCAGATGTATATATACCAGATGTATATATCCTCATGCTGATAATGTTACTTTTCAAATATTGAGGCACTGCAAATATAACCAATATGTGACTAGAACACACACTTGTTTTTGTTATCCCCCGTTAATCTCCCTGTTATTCACTTATAGTATCCCAACTCTGCTTTTGAGGAATGCTTCTGTACCACAACTATGACCCTGACTTGACTGTTCATAGATTTCAAGTGAGGTTTCTTCTTTGTTCCAAGGGTGGGACACATGGCTTAGGTGAGGCCAATCAAAGCATGGCATTACCCAGAACAGTGATGACTTCAGGATGGGCATTTGACCCACCTGGAGCCAGTATGATGCACTGAGAGTTTTTCTCGCCCCTTTGTTCCTGTTGAATTTAGGTGTGGAAGGTTGGGAGGCTAGAGTTGCTACAGCATCTCACTACAATAAGGGGAGAATCTTTAGGAAAGCTATCGCTATGGAAGACAGAGCCAAAGGATACAGCGTAACTATGTGCTGGTGACATCAGTTAAGCTCCTGAATTATCACATGCCCAAAAACTAGCCCTAGACAGGTGGGGAACCTGCGGCCTTCTAATTTCAAGATTGTTCTTTTTTAACCACCAATGGAGGCAAGAAAATCTTCATCTTTCTCGGCTGCACTCCTTTTAATAAAAGGATTTGTTCTGTAAAATTTGGATTCAATCAAAAGGCCACACTTAAGGATCTAGAAGGCCACATGTGGCTTTAAAGCTGCAGGTTCCCCACTCTTGCATGAACTTCTTTCTTCATTTTTTTTCCTTTGATTGGTTTGAGTCATTTTTCTTTCTCTTATACCAAAAGTAGATACCTGCTAGAGTGACTAAAATATTCTTCCTGGCTATATCTTCCCCTTGCTCATGTCCAACAAATACATTTTCTACTGAAAATGAGGAAGCTAGAAAATATACAAAATATATGTAATTAACAATTAGAACTGTTTCTGATTATGATTGGTGCCAGTGCCTGATTTTTATTTAATCCTTATTTAAGCCTTAGTTGCATGAACAGGTGTCTCTTTTTATGACTAATGATCACAGATTTTTACGTCAGACTTTGAATCCTGCCTGGATGATTTTAGGAGACTTTTCCTAATCTCAGTATACCCCTCTTCTTCACTTTTTAAATAGCAAAAGCATTTACCTGATAGGGTTGTGGGGAGGATGAAATAATATAGTGTATGCAGACATCTTAGCCTAGTAACGGGCACTTAGTAAGTCCTCAAATCTTAACTATGATAGTAGCTGAAAGACTGGTATTTAGGATCTCACTGGCTTATCAGTTCCTTTTCTCACTGCTTTTCAGTGACTTAAATAAGAGATAAAATAAGATTGGTATCTCATTGAGTTAATTTTTTTTCTCGAAAAGTTAACTTCTGTGGCATAAGTCATCTCTTTCTTGAATTAGCAAAGAGCTTTATTGCATTTCAGATATTCTGGAGCTGAGGCTAATATCAAGTCCTACTGTATGCAAGACTTTCATTAATATAATTGCTGTTTGATAGGAGTTCTTATTTTTAACCATCCACTATTTACAGTCATGTGTTGCTTAACAACTGGGATACATTCTGAGAAATGTGTCCTTGGGCAATTTCATCGTTGTCGGACCGTCATAGAGTATACTTCCACAAACCTAGATGGCACAGCCTAGTACCCACCTAGGCTGTATGGTATAGCCAATTGCTCCTAGGCTACAAACCTGTACGGCATGTTACTGTACTGAATGATGTAGGCAATTGTAACACAATTGTAAGTATTTGTGTATCTAAACATATCTGAACATAGGAAAGCTACCGTAAAAATACAGTATTATAATTTTACAGACCACTGTCATATATGCAGTCCTTCATTGACTGAAAATGTCGTGATGCATTCCTGTACTTTCTTTTTACTTTTAATTTAAATTATGTATATTGAGTGAATGACTTTTTGGCTTAGCAAATAAAAAGTATGAAGAGAAGCATTATTGGTTAACAAAGTTAATCTTCTAAATCGGTAAAGTTTTACCGTTTTGTTCTAAGAAAAGTCTGTCAAAGATCAGAGAGAGCTCCATTACCGAAAGCTCTGTGCCGCTACAGACATACGTATGTCCGTGTGTACACTGCGAAGGTGTTTCTCTTCACAGTTTCTCCGCCCTCTAGTGGTAGTTACAATAATGCCACTTTGTAGTCCCTGTACAGGAAATGCCTGTTCTTACTTCAGTTACCAGAATCCTTTTACAGGAAGTTAGGTGTGGTCTTTGAAGAAGAATTAAAAAAAAAAAAAAAAAATTATATATTTTTTAAAGCATGATGGAATTTTAGCTGCAGTCTTCTTGGTGCCAGCTTATCAATCCTAAACTCTGGGTGTAAAAGATTCTGCAGGGGTAATGTTTTAATATTCTTATTATGCTTATTCTCTGTGATGCTTCTCTACCTTTACAGTAGAATCCTTGGGGAAATCTGCAGGGGGACCACTTTCATTTTGAAGCTGCTGGCTGCATGTTTTAGCATGTCTCTTCTGTTAGAGCATCCAGGCATGGCAGTTTCCTCCCCCGAGTGTGCAAGGACCATCTTCATGCCTATGCCTGTCGCTAGCCATGAGGGTCTCTGGGGATGGGTGAAAAATGGGGTATGTTTTGGAGGTACTGTGATACTGGGAGGGCAGTCTGCTAGCTGGAAGCTGAAAGGTCCTGGTCTACTTCAAAAAATTTTTTAATGAAACTGTACAGTGGATATGTTGTTTTAGATTTCCCTCTGTTTTATCTGATATATGCTGCAGAAATGAACTGCATACTAACACATTTTACTCTTAGGAAATGCATTTCATATATTTAACTGGCAGCTCTCATTCCTGTAGTGTGTGAATTAAATGGATTGATTTAAAAAAAGAAGAAGAAAAAAATAGATTAAGTGATTTTATACAGATGGCATCTAGGAGTCAAGATTTTGGTTGTATTGTTTCAAATAGCATAGAAACTCCTGCCACCGGTTCACATGTAACATTTGGAATGATCGATGTGCTCTGTTGAGTTATCTACTTTAGTTTAGTAAAATATGTTTTGAATACCAGTAAAGCTCCATTTATTTTATTGCAAAAATCCATATACTAGGAGTTTGCTTAAAAGGTACACTATCTTACACTTACTATTTTTTTTCAAGTCCAAATTCTGAAATGGACACTCAGACTGCTATGCCAGATTTTGGGGAAGTGGGTACTATTTGAGAAAATGGGCTATCTCTACAGTGTTTCCTAAGGTACTGCAAATTTGTTAATTTGAGAAGCAATTACACTAGCTAGCAGCAGGTTGCTAAGCCAGGGGGTCCAAGCTACAGACCTCTGACGTGGATGACTTCCTGCCCGGTTTGGCAGGAGCTGGGTCCCTTCCTGTGCAGCTTCCGAGCAGTTGCAAACACAAACAGGCATCTCCTGCTCCTTCCTCCTCCCTAGCTTTCACGCAGTTTCTACCTATGTTTCCATAGCCTGGCATTTTAGGATCTCCAAAGCTCTTTACCAGGTGTATTGCTTTTGAATAAACTCTTAAAGATGATAAAGTGAGCCAAAAGGTACGTGGAAAAAAATGGAGAGATACATGCGAGAACCTCACACAGCCCAGGTTCTACAATTTGTGTGATGTTTCATTTCTTGTTTTGGATCTCTAATTTTTTTTTAGAAAGAATGCTGAAAAAGATGGCTGCCAAAATATTCACAGAAGTGAAATAGCAAGCACAAACCAGTATCCTCCATTTCCGAACTCTGAATTGGATTATTTTTCCCCAACTAGCACAATCACTTAAAACATTTTGGGAGTGGGAGATTAGATTACCTCATAGACACCTACTGAATGTGAAAGAGAGATCTCCATGCAAGCAAATGAATGCATGTCTGAGATTCCCTGAATGCCATATACAGCTTCCTTTGTGAAATATGACAGCTCTCTTGGTTTACGTACTTTATCTCAGTGCTCAGTGTCTTGTAATTGCCACAGTCACTTTTTAACCTAATGGTCATTGCTTTTTCTTCCCCCCTCTTTCTGTAGCACTTTCTTATGCAAGGAGCTAAACAGTGATTAAAGGAGCAGGATGAAAAGATGGCACAGTCAGTGCTGGTACCGCCAGGACCTGACAGCTTCCGCTTCTTTACCAGGGAATCCCTTGCTGCTATTGAACAGCGCATTGCAGAAGAGAAAGCTCAGAGACCCAAACAGGAGCGCAAGGATGAGGACGATGAAAATGGCCCAAAGCCAAATAGTGACTTGGAAGCAGGAAAATCTCTTCCATTTATTTATGGAGACATTCCCCCAGAGATGGTGTCAGTGCCTCTGGAGGACCTGGACCCCTACTATATCAATAAGAAAGTGAGTTCTTAGCCAAGTTGCCTTTACTTCCTCTGTCTACTAATTGAATTGATTCTGGGCTAGTCCCAGGGATGATGGTGAATGTTGTGCCTCCTTCACTCTGTCTGAAGTATCACTAGAAGCCTGGGTGGGCCTGACTGTGTAATGAATCGATAATCCTAGACATCTTTTGGAAGCACACATTTGAACCTGCGTTTTGGAGATAGGGAGAGAACTGATGAGGCATCCTCCAGTGGGGAAATGAGGAAGGGCAAAAGCCTATTCACCTTTTTGAATACAAATTATATATTTAAATGAGTGCAAATTGACCCCGATTCTCTTACAAGGCTGAGAAGCACAAAATGTCAACTAAGAGTAACATTTTAATTTTTTTTTTTATATTTGCAGGAGTAGTATCTAAATTCCTCCTTACAGTCTCGAGCTCTCTATAAGGCACTTTGATCTTCAGCAGGTTTAATTATGCCTTCATACCATAGGTTTTCTCCTTGCTGCTCTTCACGGAATAAATAATAGCAGGTGACTTATAAGGGAAAAAAAAAAGAGTTTGAGCAAAGAACACACATGGAAAACCTTGAAGTTCTCATGAGAAAATTGTCTAGCTGAAGAAATAATCAAAGCCTCATTTTTGTGCTTCCCGTGAATTATAAATGCAATTTAAATATACCTATGTTAAAACTTGATGAAGATACTAAGAATTCCTATGACATTGGCCACAAATTTTCTTTATATTCTCCTTTAAATCCCCATGTCACCTACCAAATTTAGGAAAGTTTATAGTGCTCAGAAAGAAAAAGCATCTATCGTCATATCATATATTGATAATTTGTATATTTCTACATTATTTTATAGGACACTATTTCTAAATAATGATCTCACTTTTCTCTTAAAAATGTTCTTAGTGTATATTCTAAATCCTGTTTTATGTGTTGTGTTTTCTTTTTCAGACGTTTATAGTATTGAATAAAGGGAAAGCGATCTCTCGGTTCAGTGCCACCCCTGCCCTGTACATTTTAACTCCCTTCAATCCTATTAGAAAATTAGCTATTAAGATTTTGGTACATTCATATCCTTTTTCAAATAGTCAATATGATTTTCTTCTTTGACTAAATTATTGAGCTGTGCATTTTTCAAAATATGTGTGGTTGGCGATGTTATGTGCTCTTTCTTTTTCTTTCCTTTTATTCAACAGTTAGTATGTCGCAAAATGGGATCGTAGGTAAGTGAACCACTTTTCCCCATTTCTCAAGTATTTCTCCTCTGCCTGACTATCTATTTCTTTCTTTCTTCTTTTATCCTCTGCTCTTTTCTGGATTGCTAGTTATATCCAAGGCTTTTTCGTAAAGTTTGATGCTATTACCAGGCTCTCTTTTTATGTCTTCAAATTTTACAATGTTATATAATGGAGTAAACTCCATGAGCTAATTTTCTTTTCTGCTTCTACATTTGGCAAATAAATATGCATAATCTGAATTACAATTTTATATCTTTTTGGTTTGAATTTTACTACTTTCTGCTTTTGAAAGCTTTGAGTTAATAAATGTTTACAATTTCAAATATTTCTCCAAATTCTTTTCCCAACAGCATTCCTGTTGACTTCCTATTTTTTTTTTAACTTTTTCATCTTGTCCCTTATTCCTATGTTTTATTTAAATCACACGTCCTGCTACAATTATTTCTCTCCAAAGGCTTTATGTCTGTCTATCCATGTACATCCTCATTTTATTCTTTATTCTCCTTATTGAAGTGTCTACTTTCCAGAGAGGGAATTGATGACATCTTGGTGGTAGATGGTAATTTGATTTACTCCATGAAGTTAAATAGAGTAGTTGAGAATGAGAGGTTTTATTCCAGGCCAGAAACAATGATCTGGCTGACAGCCAGCTCTGGGAATGCCAAGGAAGCAAAGGCTTGGAGGACTGAGGCTGTGCTGGGCAGGGGCATTTACAGGCAGAACACAGAAGTCTTGGGATGAGGAGTGATATGTATTAGGGACCAGAGGTAAGGCAAGGGAAACTGAGATTTAAACAAAGCCTCAGATAGGACAGCATGTTCTTTCTTCTTTAGGAAGAGTCATTGCTTGGAATTCCATTGCATGGTCAGCCTAGAGCCTGGTTTTAAAGCATGTAGTATAAAAGCTTACCACCTCTAACAGGCCCAGAAAATATCTGAATTAGATAAGGTAGGGAATTAGATAAGGTAGGGAATTCAGGAAATGGGATAAGCCTGAGAGAGGTTATTCATCTCAGTTCTGGGTGAAGGAGATGTAAAGTATGTCCCCAGACATGCCTGGCAGTATGCCAAATGATGTCTTTAGAAGCATGGCATTCTGTAAGTCTCCTCTTAACATCTAGTGTATCCCTCCTGCAAGGTTTGCATAGATACCAACATATTTTTATTTGCTATTTATGTTTTATGTTTTATATTTTAAGATTTAGTAATTTCTTATGCATTACCTTAATTAATACTGTTTTCTTACCACTGTTTTTCAAATAAGAGAATGCAGTTGCACATGGAGAAAAAAATTGTCTTTGAATTAGCATTAGAAAGAATAATAAAGTTGGAATTTATATTTGGGTCTCCTGAATTATAAATTATGATCTCTTATTATGTTTCAAGTATTTATAATCTGTGCACTGAGTAA